CATACTAGTCCTCGAAGTTCAGGAAGTTAATTGTACAACTGCTTGGTCAGGGAACATTTCGTTGAAAATTCATCTTTCCAGCTTACCCGGTTTCCGAGTTAGCGATTTTTGCACCAAGAACTTTTGCAGGTCCATATGTGAGAACCACGCACATCTGGAAGTTGAATTTGAAATATTTAAGTTGTAAGTGGGTTGGGGACATTTGCAAGTGGGTTGAGAACATCCCCATAAAATTTCAACCTCTCAGCTCTTCCGGTTCTCGAGTTAGCGATTTTCCCGTTAAAACTTTCACGTGCTTGTGGGCGGGACCCATACGTGCTTGAGAGCAGGTGCCGCAGTTCTGAGGTGACACTTGGCCGAGGATTCCACTGGCGAAATTTTAGCATGGAAGATTACTTGGCTGCTGAGTTAAAATATCTGGACAAACACACACACGAACGTCATGAGTAGTCGCAATATGCTTTTTATGCGTTTTTGCCTATATGCAAATTGCAAAAACGCATATTGGGACGACCCTGTCTGTGTGTCATGTATGTATGTTCTTTCATGCAAAATTTACCATGATTTGCGGTATTGAGAGCACAAGGTAGGTGTATGTGTGTGTGTATGCTTGTGTGTGCGTATGTGTGTTCGTCTGTCCGGGTATTTCAACTCGGCAACCACGTATGCGTGTGTGTGTATGTTTGTGTGTGTGTGTGTTCGTCTGTCCGGGTATTTCAACTCGGCAACCAAGCTTCTATATGCAAATTGCAAAAACGCATATTGGGACGACCCTGTCTGTGTGTGTATGTATGTATGTATGTGTATGTGTATGTGGGTGTGTATGTTTGTGTGTGTGTGTGTGTTCGTCTGTCCGGGTATTCCAACTCGGCAACCAAGCAAGTTCCAGCGCCGAGATTTATGTGTGTGTGTATGTGTGTGTGTGTTCGTCTGTCCGGGTATTTCAACTCGGCAACCAAGCAAGTTCCAGCATGTTTGTGTGTGTGTGTGTGTTCGTCTGTCCGGGTATTTCAACTCGGCAACCAAGCAAGTTGCAGCGCCGAGACTTTGCTGATGGGTACCCCGGCCAAATACCACCCCGAACCGCGGTACCATCCCTCACGCACATCTGAGCCCCGCGTACGAGTTTTGGCGGGAAAATTGATAACTCGGGAACAGGGAAAGATAGAAGGCTGAAACTTAGGGAATATGTGCCCATACCATGCGCGACCCTCCCATTTTAATAT